ATCATCATCATTATCATCATCATCATCATCATCATCATCATCACCATCACCATCATCATCATCATCATCATCATCATCATCATCATGTTATCATTATTATTATTATTATTATTATTATTACTATTATTATTATTTTTATTATTATTATTATTATCATTGTTGTTGTTGTTGTTGTTGTTGTTGTTGTCGTCATCATTATTATTATCATTATTATTATATTATTATTATTGTTGATGTTATTAAATTTTTTAAAAATTATTGTTATTATTATTATTATTATTATTATTATTATTTTTATTATTATTATTATTTTTATTATTATGATCGTAGAAGGAAAAGAAAGCAAATGAGGCAGTGCTTGATGAATCCCACATGGGACGCTCACTGTTTAAACAATCAGGAAACGACAAATGCAGTTTTTGGGGCACATGAATAGACTTAAGGGTCTTGAACATCTAGCTCTCACTAGCAAAATTGAAGGCAAACGAGGCAGGGGTAGGCCCAGAGCAACCTATTTAGGTAACCTAAACAACATTGGTAACGAGGAAAGATCATGGAAACGTAGCTTTTGTAAGAGCATCCGAGCAAAGGAGTGAAAGGAGAACCATGATCGCCGATGTCTGTTGCAGATCTGGCAGTGGATGATGATGATGAGGATGATGATGATGATGATGATGATGATGATGATGATGATGATTTAATTATTATTATTATTATATTATTATTATTATCATTCTTCTTATTATTATTATTCTTATTATTATTATTGTTGTTATTATTATTATTATTATTATTATCATTATCATTATCATTATTATTATTATTATTATTATTATTATTATTATCATTATTATTATTATTATTATTATTATTATTATTATTATTATTATTATATTCATAATTCATTATTCATTTTTATTATTATCATTTTTATTATTATTATTATCATTATTATTATTATTATTGTTATTATTATTATTATCATTATTATTATTATTGTTGTTGTTATTATTATTATTATTATTATTATTATTATTATTATTATTATAGCCCCTCTTTGTGGAACCCATTGTGGGTCGCCGTGACATCATGCGGGAAGATAGTTTTAAGAATAATGGAAGGGCGGGGGGGGGGGGGTCTATTACCAAACATAGGGAAGCTTGACTAAGCAATAGATTTTGGTCTCTACATGGCAAGATCGCCTTACCAATCGACCCTAGATAGTGTTATGTGCGGAACCAATAAACAGCGTAGTGTACCATTCAGACATCGGTGGTGTAGTGGTTAGGCCCTTCGCCGTCGCCTGTGGAAGACATGAACTAGATTTCTGTGTGTTTTGGGGTATGTTTTTCTTTTGTTTTGTTTGTTTGTGTGTGTGTTTGTTTTAATGTTGCTGTTGTTGTGTTGTAGTTTTGTTTTTTGTTTTTTTTGGGGGGGTAGTTTTTGGTGGGATATTTGGGGTTGGGGCGGTAATGTTTTTGATGTTTTTGTTATGACATTTAGTAAAGTATATATATATATATATATATGTCTGTTAGGACTTTGTGTTAGGACCTCTAAGCCTAGACTGGCCTTGCAAGACAAGGCCGAAGCGGAATGCTTCCTAAATGATGAAAATTTTGTCGATGTGGAGCGTAATACATGAGCAATTACGTTACATACCACCGATCACCGCCGTGGCACACATTGAAGATTATGTTATATTCGAAGATTAGATTCATAACTAGAGAGAATAACACGTAGAGAAGAAGGGGTGGAGATAAGGACGAAATAGGTTTGTTTTTACTGCACTTGCAAAATACTTGACAATGTTACTGCTTTTCACAGAAAAGAACATAAATTAAACATGCGGCCAAAGGGACAGGATTCAAGGAATCAAACTTGTACTTTCATTCTAATGCTTTCTTTTTCTTTACATTTTGTCTATCTTTATTTCTTTCTTACTTTCTTTCTTTCTTTCTTTCTTTCTTTCTTTCTTTTCTTCTTTCTTACTTTATGTATATCATTTATTAATTAATTTGACCATTTATTAATTAATTTATCTATTTATTTAATTATTGGTGTAGTTACTTTTCCCGCAATCGTATTCTTAATTGACAAAATCCGCTTTAGCGCGTCGACTGCCGTTCTGGTAGCAGTTCACTGTTTATTATCCAAATAGGACAAATAAAACACTTGTGATGTTTAACTCTTTGTGGGCTGCTTCTCCCCACTGCTGTGACGGACATGTTTCCGTAAATTATGTCCTGCTCAAAACTGATAGACAAAACGCTCACTTGTGGCGGATAAATGTCCGTGTGCTCTTACTTGCCTGTTGCACGATAAACAAGCATAATTTTCTAACGTTGAACAGTCTTTTTAAACTCAGTTTGAAAAGATTATGCTTAACCAGTTATTATATTAAAATACAACTCTTTGCACGTTGTTTTTGTGGATTTGTTTTGTTGTTGTTGGGTTTTTTTTGGGGGGGTCCTTTTTTTCGTTTTTTTTTTAAAGGGGGGCGGGAGTTGTTGTTGTTGTTGTTGTTGTTATTGCTGTTGTTGTTTTTGTTTTGGTTGTGGTTTGGTTTGGTTTGGTTGGTTTGGGGGGGGGGGGGGGTTGTCAAAGAAGCCACTCGAACGTTTCTTGTTTTTGACTCTGCGTGTGTTTACTCACCCAATAATTCGGGCAAACATTTGAGTCGTTCAACTCTCTGCTTGCCTTCTCTTTTTTTTAAAATGACGTACAGACACTTATGACCCATATTAATCCTTTGTGCGTTCTTCTTTCGGGCCACCGTTCCATAATGAACAAACATTTCCAATATGATTTTTATTCTCTGTATGTTTGCTCGCCAAAAATGGCGAACAAATTACTTATTTGACTGTCTTCTTTTCCCCTCCTCTCTCACTTCGCCAGTCCCATACTGGCATCTATGGTTTAGCGATAAGACGTTTTGCCGTCACACCCAGAAGTCGTGGGTTTGATACCTCTCTCTCTCTCTCTCTCTCTCTCTCTCTCTCTCTCTCTCTCTCTCTCTCTCTCTCTCTCTCTCTCTCTATCTATCTATCTATCTATCTATCTATCTATCTATCTATCTCTGTATATGTGTGTGTGTGTGTGTGTGTGTGTGTGTGTGCCAAGGGTGA